TTTACGCACTGCTACAAAAAATATCATGCATGCACCACTGGCCTGCATGCATATTCAAAGGCGGTGATCTCGAGGAGTGCAAATCACTGGCGTATAGCAACAATCACGTCGCCGCCCCCACCATGTCGCAAAGTGGCTAGCTCTACTCTAAAAAAAGAGTGATTTTTTTTTTAAGTCCTTAAAAAGTCAACAAACGTTACGCAAAAAGGAGATTCCCTAAAACAGCAAATAAAACTTTGCTAATTTTTTACAGTCTCCAAGACATTCTTTACCCCTCGCTCCCATACTCTTTTTGGATGCTGTGGTTTCAAAACATTTTTGCTAGTAAAATCACTTCAAATTTATTTGCTGCCCGAGCAAAAAGGTTTGGTACGTCAATAATTTCGATGATGTGAAAAACTGGCATCGGGTTTTACAGAGAAATGTCTTGTTGCGTGATTGTTGCGTGCATTGGTTGAAGACGCATAATTGATTCAAACTTTTGAAGTAAAGCAGCACGTATTCCATCCGACGTCCTAGTGCAGAAAGGCTATTACCACCCGACGTACCTGACCCAGTTTGTTTTCCCCAAACATCGGGGCGGCGCCTCTCCGCCCCGCCCTGTTTCGTCGTCGTCTCGCCTCGAACGAGGTGCCGGAAAGGGACAGGAAAAAAGTGTCGTCGGAGGAGGCGAGCATAATGGGAGGGGACGTGGAGGGCCGCGAAGGGAGGGCCCCGCCAGCCAGGCGCAGCCATGAATCTTGATTTTAACTCGATTATTGTCGGTTCGTTTTTAAAACGCGCGTCGAAATAATGCCGGAGGAACGATTTGCCCCCGAGGGGTGGCAGGAATCTTGCCCAGCGCTAGGGAGAGCAAGGGGGAGAGAGAGAGAGAAAGAGAGAGAGAGAGAGAGAGAGAGAGAGAGGGGGGGGGGGGTATGCGGAGGTGAAACCATTTATAAGGTACCGCTAGTAAGTGCCTGAGTATAGCGAGATCACCATAAATCGCATAATAGGAAAGAAACCACCTGCATCAAGCGGAAACAGAAGGGGGAAAATGTCTCAAGCACTATGCTTTCTATAACCCGCTATCACCCAATAGTCGGCTAGGAGAATTTCCCATGACACCATAACGCCAGGGCTGCTGCTCGGCGTGAGGACCCGGAACTTCCCCGCCCCGACCCGCCCGACCCCAACTTCTCCGCGCTCCTTTCATTCTGTCCTTAAAATGAAAGCCCTCCAGATTGCTGCAGGACGGACGCAATTAGTGGAGGTGGAAGTAGAAAAGAAATGACACTTTGCATCGGCGATAGGGCGGCGGGGCGGGGCGGGGCGAGGCGGCCGAGGGGCGAGATGAGCTCCCCTCCCCGCCTGACTGTGTGAGGCGCTGTCAGCAATTGGACGTGGCGTCGCCAGACCGGCAACTCGAAGACGTATTTATTGTCTCCGCGTCTCGCGACTAGCGCTGTCGTAGTATATTCACAATTTTTAAATTTTTTCAATCCAAGATTTTAGTCTTGATTTTTGAATAAGAGGATGATCGATCATTGCTACAAGAAAACGTGGTTTTTAAGAAACCCTTTGATAGAGGCTGCCCGTGGAGGGGTGGGTTTTTGAATGGGGGAAGGACAACTGCTTCTTTCGCAGCCCTAGCCGCGGGAATCAAAAAGTGTCGCGCCCTGTCGCCTTCTCGGCGACGCGCTCCCACCCCTCCTCGGCTCCGCCCTCCGCCTTAATCTCGATTCGCCATTAATTATTCTCATGATTCGTATTGTTATTCTCGGGCTATCGTGACAGGATTCGAATGAAAGCGAAAAAAGAGGGCAGGAGGAGAGAGTGTGTCCCTTTCGAAGCACAATCTGCCCCCTGCTGCTGGACGAGGGGGAGGGGCTGCCTCACCGCCGCGGCACGGCGCGCGAAGGGAGCAATCCTGAGGACCGCAGAAACTCTGGGGAGGAAGAAATTAGGGAAACGAAAAACAACGAGGAAGAAGGCATACAAAAAAGGTGGGAGGGAAATAAGAACACAGTGTAGTTGGTGCAGACGCGGCAAGTTGCAATTAGACAAGGCGATTGGCTTCGACTGCCGAAACAGGGTGGGAGCGGGACTCTGTAAAAACTCGAGATAGGGGCCGATAAGGACGGAACATGACTAAGGATGTAGTCATTAAACAAGAAATAGTACTTTTTAAGTTGATGGGGAAGAGATTCGCTAAAATTATAGAAACGATGACATTCATCACGAATCAACCAATATGTCCTTCTTGAACTGTTCCTCAAAATCACTACCCACGTTCAGCGGGGCACGAGGCCCGACCATAATGTCACGCAAGCCCCAGAATGCGCCGAACGAGTTAACATGACTGGGACTCGATAACGACTGAATCCGATAAAGAAATGTGATATGATGCATACATGACTTAATCGAACCTGACGGTCACAGTGTTTGAATAACTTTACGCATCAAGTTGGCTGGAGAAGGAACCTAGGAAGTAGCTTGGGCGCCGCGCCGACACCCGTGTTTCTGGGCTGCCCACTCAGCAGGAGCCAGGAGCCCTCAGGAGGTAGCGCCTGGGAGGTAGGCAGCGCGCCGACACCAGTGTGTCTAGGCTGCCTACCTCCCAGGCGCCCTCAGGAGGCAGAGCGCCTGGGAGGTAGGCAGCGCGTCGACACGAGTGTGTCTGCGCTGCCCACCCGGCAGGCGCCGTGCGCCAGCGTGAGCAAAGCGCCCCCGCTCCGCACGCCTGTACAACTCGGCAGGCACTGACCGCCGGCACGGACCCACGCACCGGTGCCCCGCCTGCAGGGGCAGCGGGCGTCCCCGTCATGCCTCCCCCAGAGCCACCCCCACACAACACGCCGACGGCACATCAAGGCTTGTTGTGTTGTGCCCCACCACCTGTTGATGCCCTGCTGTTGTTGTTGTTGTGGGGGCGTAAACACCACCCACCCGGCGCGGCCAAGGGCCCACCCCGCTCGCTCCCACAGACAGCTGCGCGGGCTTTTACGCACTGCTACAAAAAATATCATGCATGCACCGTGAATTTCGTTCTTTAAATACTAATAAATCTTATGGAATATAATTTTATTGTTGTAATGTTGTATTGTACTCGCTGTGTGTAACCCAAATTTTCCTCACCGTCGTTACTCTCCCTTTCGAAACGATGCTTTCGCGTTAGCAGTGCAGCTACACCACCACTTACTTGACGAAGGCCTGGAAGTGGTCGCAGACGACCTCGCAGCCCGGCCAGCGGCACACGCCGTGCGAGTAGAGGGGGTGCATCTTGTCCAGCTCGTCGGCGAGCGGCTGCAGCGAGGCGTGGCCCGGCGGCGTCCCCAGCGACACGGGCGGCAGCGCGGGCAGCGCCAGCCCCAGTGGGGGCGCGCCGCCCACCGCGGGGCCGCCGTTGGACTCGTCGGTGCGGCACATCAGGGGGACTGTACCGAGACAAAGGCGGTCATTGCATTTCCAAGCAAATAACAACCAAAAAAGGTTCTCCTCTAAAATTATCCATTTGCTTTGGCTAATTTCGCGTTCTAAAACTGACCTGGGTGTTGCTCGGCCAGCTGAGACCCGTACTGCAGGAGGTAGTGCCTTTGGGCAAGCAGCTGCTGCTGCATCAGATGCTGGCGGGCCAGCTCACTGCCCTGCAAACAAATAAAAGAAACACTTAAATTATATTTGAAAGATCAATCATCAAAATCAAGTTATGAAAAGCCTTACTGCTTCTCGCGAGTTCTTGCTCATTACTGTGTTGCCAGGCATTAACACAGCGAGGGTGAGAGGGGCTTATCTGCGTGTGACCCCGGCGGCGCTGCAGGGGCGCTAACCTATTTACGATACGGCCATAAAAGAGCCATCCCCGCCCGCCCCGCGCGCGCTCCTCCGATCGCTTCCCGCGAACTTCCGGCTGCTGCTACTGCTTCGGCCTTTATCCCCCCCTGCCCCTTTTCCGGCGGCCCCCTGCTGCTGCTGCCAGACTTGGAACAATACTTGAAAAGTGAGAAATGTAAATCAAGCGCGCGGACCAAGGCGTGGGACCCATCCAGAGAGAGAGAGAGAGAGAGAGAGAGAGAGAGAGAGAGAGAGAGAGAGAGGGGGGGGGGGGGGGGGAGCCAAGTCACATCCAAGAGTGCTTTATTTCGCGCCCAGGCGCAGCCGTGGAGGGACGGGGCGTGGCCAGTAGGGGGGGAGGCCCAAAGAAGCCCATAGGGCCGCGCTGGCAAGCGGGGGCGCAGGTGGAAAGCCTACAGTCAGAAATGAATAGTCCGCGCTGCGAAATCGACATCATGTCCGTATCTGCAGACGTTTCTTTTCGACGCCCAGCCGGGGATTGAGCACTACGGCCTTCTAGGTTTAAAGTTATAAAGTCTACCCCAGATGGCGAGCCATTGCTCTGGCCACACGTTACCAAGGCGGACGGAAGCGCACCAAACCAAAACCCTTTCCCAATAATTATTTGCGCCATAACAAGTCGTCGGCTGGCAGCGGCGTGGCGTGGCGCAGCGCTGCGGCTTGGCAACCCGCGATATTAATGACCCACTGGATAATTTCCAGCAGCTGCCCCCGCCCCGCCCCGCCCGGTCGAAACCACAAAGAACTAACTAACGGGGCGGACGAGTCGGAAGACCAACACGCACAAGTTTGATGAAGACGGACGTGGTGGGGCGGGGGGTTGGGGCGAGCGCGGTACTCGGTTTCAAACTCGCACGACCAAGATACACAGAATGCAGGCAATGGAAAGCAGCCGCAGCAGCAGCAGCAGCAGCAGCAGCAGCAGCAGCAAGCAACGGGGGCCGCGCCGCGCCACGACAGACTACTCCGCGCCGGTTTTGTTTGTCGCAATTAATTTGATATCAGCATTACACGAAGAGGCGTATCGCACTCCAGCCACTTGCATGATATCCCCCCCCCTTTTCTCCCTCCGCAACGATATACACACACACGTTGTCAGCAATTGCATACATCTGACGTGCCTTTGCTTCCAGCAGCGCCGCGGCGAGGAACAGGAGGAGGAGGAGGAGAATAGCAGACGACGCATACAATTCTATATACGGAGGGTGAAATTATACACAAGGATTGGAGGGGGGAGGGGAGCGAAAGGGTTGTTGGCGCGGCTCAAGCGGAGGGCCATAAATAAAGGATGGCCCCGCCACAACATAACGATAAGGGGCTCAGCCGCGCTTCTTATCCGCGCCGTCCATCTTCGATTGCTGTGGGAGCCGCGGGGCCCGCGGAGCCCGCGGAGCCGAGGCGGCAGTCAGGTGAGGCGCGCCCTAACAACCTCCAAAAAGTGTTATTCCGGACTGCGATCGCAAAGGGAAAGGAAGGGGCATTGAGGGACAGAACGCTCCGTCAGTCAATAACCATGAAAAAACTTAATTTCTTCAATTTTTTTACAAGGTCGCCCGCAGTGTAATACAGGGTGGCCGATCTGCCCCGTCTTTTAAAAAGAGGTAGACTAGCCCGCCCGCACGACCTCGACAGTCCCCTCTCACCTCCCCTCTCCGTCTGCAAGCGGGCTAGTCTACCTTTTCAAAATGGCGGGGCAGAGCGGCCCCCCTGTATTATTTTTTTTACTAATATTATCAGGAGTAGTGAGGGCACCAAAAGAACGTGGTGCGAAAAAATAACAACAAAATCACGGTTTTGTTGTTATTTTTTTGGAAGAAAAGTCGTTGCGGAGTGGAGCGCGGCGACTATTATTGCGGCGACGGCGGCGGCAGAAAGAGCTCTGCACGTCCAAAGCGTTTCACAGCGGAAGGGTTGGAATCACGACGACGGCAATAAGAGGGGAGCTGGCGCGGGGGGGAGTACAACAACTTGCCCGGTTAGCTCAACGGTAAGTGTGGCGCCCCGAAGACGGTGTGGGTGTCGTTAATGCTAATTACTTCGTCTGTCTGTCTGTCTTTCCTGGCACTCAGTCCGTCCGTCTCCGAGGACCGCTTTAGGAGTGACAGCGGCAGCTTGCGCGCCCCCTTTCCCTCATTACCCCACTCCTCCTGCCGGGCAGGAAGGAAAAGGCGCGCACCGGCTGGTTTAGCTGTCTGTAAAGCCCAAGAAGAATAAGGGCCGAGCAGGCGGCCAGAGGGTAGCTCTGCCGCTGAGGGTACGCGAGTCCGCGGCCAGCCGGACCACTCATCGCTTCCTGTTTCGCTGTGTAGGGCTACGCCAATGGCCCGCCCCTTGGAGCGGCTGCTGCAGCAGCAGCAGCAACCCTTGCCTCCCTCCCATACTTTTGTTTACGTAAGCAATTCGCTCAGCTCTTAATGTATTCCAGACTTAGAGCCAAGTCAGAGGCCCTGCCGCCCGCCGCTGGCCGGGCCACGCACGGCCCAGCCTCTGGCGTGGCGTGGCGAGGCAAGGCGGGGCGGGACGGCCCGGCCCTCGATAAGTCATACAAATTTGTTTGCCGTTACGGAGAGGATTGCAGTTGCGCCCGTCCGCTCGCCGTATTTACAGAGCAGAGATGCCTCTGCGGCCGCGCTGCTGAGAGGCGCCGCGCTACAGGCGGGGCGTGGAGGAGGGTGGGGGAGGATGGAAGAGGGAGAGGGGCAAGGGTCGAAGAAGTTTGTTACGTCATCGATGCAAACACGTGAGACCCCTGCGTCGTTTATAATCAACGCCCGCGTTCTCTCGCCGAAAACTTTGCAATAATGAAAACACCGCTCGCGGTGATCAAAAAAGGTATCGCGTGGCGCAGCAGAGGGAGCAGGGAAAAGTAGAGAGGAGAAGAGGGCGGGGGGGGGGCTGATTAGAAGAGCCAATCAGAGCGCGCTGTGAATTAGTTCGACACTACTGCTTCAAAGTTTCGCCGACATTCATTATTCTGTACTGCTACTGCTGCTGCCGGGCGTGGCGTGGCGGGTGGAGCAGGGGCGCGGAAGATGAAGGAAGAGTGCCAAAATACGCGTCGACTCGCGAGGCAAGCAGTAGCGGGCGGGGCGGGCGCGCTCTTAGCAACACACTAAAAATTAACATACCATTCCCATACGTGGGGGCACACATCCACACACACACACACGGCGGGCAGGCTAAGGTCCCGTTGCCCCTCCCCCAAACCCCAACCCCCCGTATTCGTATTCACAGACACGCGCGGCCCTGCGGCGGACCCCGTGTGTAATTGTTTGTGTGCCAAGCCGAGTTAATCGTACGCGCGCCTGCTGCTGCTGCTGCTGCTGCTGCTGCTGCCGCCGCCGCCGCACTACAGATGCTGCTGCTGCGTCAGAGCCAGGACCAGACCAGGACCCTACCCGACATGAGCCGGGCTTCCTCCAAGGGCATTCGATAAATTTAGGTGCCCCCAAACAGATTTACCAAAATAATTCCCTTCCCGCTCTACTAAGGGTAAGCATGAATATTCCCACACCTACAGGTGTGCGACATTCGCACACTTGCGTTTCAGTGAAAGTAAAATGTTAGTAAACAGACGGATAAGTCCGTTTTAAGAGTATCTCTATATGCGGTTGAAGTTAAGCAAAGGAGCATCGCGACCAAAATTGCTCTTGTTTTCGACATTTTCTTTTCCTACCCACGCGACACGATGGGAAAACCAACTTCATTTTCACTCGCTGCGTAAACAGGACAAAAAGGCTCGCGCGGTGATCAGCAACTCCTCTTCTTACGCCTCCTCCGTCCCTCTCGCCCACTCCCCCTACCCTCTTTGTCTCTCTCTTCTTGTTTGGCCTCATTTCCCAGGCCGACGGGAAAGAAAACACACCGTCGGAAGACCAACACGCACAAGTTTGATGAAGAC